GGTATGTATTTTCATGCCAGTGCCATTTAGTTGCAAATTTCCCTAAATGTCAATCAAAAGTTGACAACCATTGAGGTTGGTTTCAATACTACAAACCCTTGAGTTTTTGGTTATGCAACTACATTGGTTTCACCGAGAGAGGGTTTTTACAATAGAAAAGTGTGTTTAGTGCCAAATGGTGACAATTGCAAAATGATTATTCATTAGAATTTCCAAATATTTTCAACTTAAAGGAAACTGTAGGCCTATAAGTTTAAGAACAAAATATTGCAAATCGAATATCCAGTCATGAATTAAAATTGAATTAATTTCAAATGGCAAGGTTTGTCACATAATCATGTCATCAAATGCATGTATAGGCCTAAACCCCATCTTCAATATTTTGAATAAAATCTACTTCTATAATTGATTTTCAATCTTGTCATAAAAGTTGCCTGATTGAACTGAACTCTAAATCTTTAAATTTAAGAGACGAATTTTGAATGAAGGAGACATATCACACGACATTGAGAGGTGTTTCAATCACTCGTATGCTTTCTTTGGTTCACCCGGCGTGACTCCCCATTAAAAACATGTTTTTCCGCCTTGGATGCCTTCAATCTGCTCCGTTGATGAACCATGCAACTATCTGCTCAATCACATCCCATTTCCATTTTTTTCTTTTGAGTATCATGGTCCTCAATGTTAATAAGTACTGCGAAAACAGACACCAATTGTGTTTTCCATGGTGATTCATCTATCAATATCTTGTGAGTTAACAAAGGACCAGCGTGGCACCAGTGTTGTGTCTGCTTTGGTAAACAGGCATTGTAGTAAACAAGTTTGTTCATAATAACTATATCCAAAATGTGACCAGAGAAAGAGAAAGAGAGAGAGAGAGAGAGAGAGAGCGAAAGAGAGAGAAGAGAGATATTGGGAGGAGGCAAGGAAGAGATAGAGAGCCTGTCCCATTGAAAGACTCACAATTTTTTTCTCATGAAATTCAATACACCCCCCCCCCCCAAAAAAAAAACAAAACAGCAACAACAAAATCATCACATTAAAGGTAAAGACCAGTTATGGTCATGCGATTGGATTGTGAAAGAAACGTCGTGGAATCGATCAGAAAAGGTTGATCATCTAGCATCTAGCATCTGCAAGGTTCTGGAATCATCAAAATGATAAGAAATTTGGCCCATTCTTCGTACAGTTACAAGCACTATACACAGAAAGATGTATATGGGACTACCCTATATCTCTCACAGACCATGAGAGAAACAAATTTACTAAATATATGAATTAGTAGGCGGTTTCCCGGCAAATTTTTTATCATCATGTATTAGTCAAAACATATTCTTTCACATGATTGGTAACGAGAGCTTCCATTTCATTTTTTGAAATTGGGGCGTTTCCAATACTGGTCTTTACCTTTAACAGTAGGCCTACGCAACACAAACAAGATATTAGAAAAGGAAAATACTAACTTCTCCTTTCGTATTAATCCTGGTTCTCTCTCACAAACTGAATGCTATTTTCAGTACACAATATAGACCCTAAGAAACTAGACCACCATTTGAATAACCCAATTTCATGCTCAGCACCATCAATGGAGAAATCAATTTTGTCCCTGCAGCCCTACGTACCGCAAACCTTCATATCACGCAATGTACACCATATCAAATAGGCAAAAACATTCCATCAAAAGCATCCCTCCCCTCTCAACCATCATCGCCCCTGAACAAAATAGGATGTCTGAATGCTGATATTTTGTTCTTTCTGGAAGATCTACTAAAAATTTGTTTGTTTCAAGAAAACTTGGAGGACTGTTCCAGTATTCATTATAAAATTTGCCCATAGCCAATTCTGTTTAAGTGTTGCATGGATATCCTAACTAAAATGTGTAATCTTTTTGTCTTACTACTCAACGTTATTCAACTGCATGATATTCTTATAGTGGAGATCAGGTTGGGATCACAATTGAAAATGGGCAGTGAAATGTAAAGAACTAAAATAGAAAAAGGACGACTAATTATTAACCAAACATGAGAGCATCATCAAACTCAACACCATCTGCGCATTGAAGAAAGGTTCTATGCTTTATGAATATAGAAGGGCTGAAAGAGACAATTTAAAGTTGTGTGGGAATAAAAAGTTTCCTCCCAATGGGGTACCTAAAAATGTATTGCTACATTGACAAACTCAGCAGCTGCCATTCTTTCATATACCCACATCATTTGAAATATGAATAAAAGAATTTTACAGTAACAATAGGATTAACTCTCATGAGTCATTTATATTCATCTGCTCCAACTTACATCATGTTTGCCCTGAGCAAACAGGTTTCTGTCACCTTTTTTAATACACCTTTTCCCCTCACAAATGAAGCCATATTTAAAATAGATATTAAACCTTACTGTACTGGGGGGGGGGCCTGGGAGCCCCCCCCCCCCCCTCAACATTTTCGGAGATCGCGCCGCAACCGCTTGGAATTTTGAATTGTCGTTTCATGACATTTTTCCCTCACGTCTTGCACACATTTTGATACCATTTTCGTCAAAATCGGATATACCTGTAAGGTGTTACATAACAATTAGTATGCGCATGTCATCAAAAAAATGCTATAATTGCATACATTCATGTACAAGCAGAAATGTGAAGATATGAATTGATATCAAATTGCTTTTATATGTTTCTCAGAGTAACTTGATGTATTCCAGAACAAAAGAATACATTAGAAATAAAACAATAGATATAATAAGAAATTAAAAAAAACAATAGAATACATAAGAAAATAAATAGTCGAAAATTGCATTAAATTTGCATAAATTATCATTATTAATTACATCAAATAACTATTTTGTGTTAGAAAAGAAGTTTCAAATGAATAATGAGTTTCAACATTCAAAAAGTGGAGTCTGACAATTTTTGTTATGATTCTAGTTCCCTAAATATAGTTCCAGATTTGATATTCATGAATGCGTAATTTGCGTATTCATAATTTATGCAAATTAACCTATGTATTTTCAAATATCATAAAAATAATGAAACCTCATGAATTTGAGATGAAGGAAACATTTATTCAATACATTTTCAAGATTCTTCACAAGTCTACGGACAAATATGTAGAGTTTTCTGTAAAATGCATAAAATTAGCATTTTGCATAATTAATTAGGCTATATCGACAAAAATTTGCATATTAGGAAAAAAGTAATTATACCATCTTGTTCCTTACGTAAATATCTACAAATATGCAAATTTTCGTGTTCATCGGACATTCGACTGCTGAGATCATAGGGGGGGGGGGGGCCTCTCAGGCCCCCCCCCCCCCCCCCCCCCCCCAGTCAGAGGGTACTCAAAATAGCCCAGTACAGTAAGGGTTAATGGTGGCCAACGTGAGTGCATGCTTATAGTGGCGCTAAAAGGCTACATGTCAATTAGGTTCGATTTAATTAGAAGGGGGCCGTCCGGTCTAGCCATAACACCTCATTAAGGCAACATATAGTTCAGCATTAGGTCACAACGATAGATGTACTCTCATATCACTGGATATACTATCCTATGGTGGCTCCTAAGGAACACGCAAACGCAAAATTTGACATATACCTATGCAACAAATTTGTGGATTTTCACGTCAAAGACGTGACAATCCACAAATTTGACGTATACCGATGAAACAAATTTGTGGATTTTTACGTCAAAGACGTGAAAATCCACAAATTTGACGTATACCTACATGTATGCAACAAATTTATGGATGTTCACGTCAAAGACGTGAAAATCCACAAATTTGACGTACTGTATACCTTTGCTGGGTAATTGTTTCGTTTTTCTGTACTTAATGGCGGGAGGAAGGGAGGAAGGACAGGAGAGATAGAGAGAGATGGAAAGAAATAGAGAGAGAATAAAAGGGTGTGATAGGAGGGGGGGGGGGAAGGCAACAAGATGCACAAAAAGAAGTAATTACTTGGTACAGGCAAAATATGTTTACAAATTTCAAAGCGTAATGTATCTAGGCCTTCTATAGTTTATATCAATTTTAGTCCAAAAAATAGAATGAATTAGTGGTGTACAATTAATGTCGAGATAAAGCTGTTTAAAACATAGCAGAACAAACCCATATACACTTATCATCCCGGTGCTCAGCTTACTGAAAACAAATTCGCGTCCAATATTCGCGTCTGCGTGTCCCTTTTGGGCCGACGCAGACGTATATATTTGACGTATACCTATGCAACAAATTTGTGGATTTTCACGTCGAAGACGTGAAAATCCACAAAATTGACGTTTACCTATGCAAGGGTTTTATAGTCTTTTTACGCCCAGGACATGAAGAAGAAGAAAATCTGCGTCCAATTTCACGTCTGCGTGTCCCTTTTGGGAGACGCAGACATGAATATCGGACGCAGATTTTCATGTCTGCGTGTCCCTTCAGGGCCATTGAGTACAACAAAACGAAAAAATTACCAAGCAAAGGTATACGTCAAATTTGTGGATTTTCACGTCTTTGACCTAAAAATCCACAAATTTGTTGCATCGGTATACGTCAAATTTGTGGATTTTCACGTCTTTGACGTGAAAATCATATATACATCAAAGTTTGCGTTTGCGTGTCCCTTATAGGAGCCACCATACTATCCTGTAGCAGACAAGTATGGTCTGTTATGTACAGGGTTAAACGGATGTCCCTTGCGGTCATTCTTATTTACTCCACAATATTTCATCAAAAGATTTAGGGTTTAGGATAAAGACTGCACTAGGCTCCTCATGAAGGTCCTGTTTTGTAATGAAGTTGCAATTTAATTACAAATAATTTGCAAATGATATCAACTGCAAATTATATGTGATCAATCACATCTCTTTCAAGACGAAGAACCAAGTGGCAGGTGTAGTAGGGTTAGGCTTGGGTAAATGTCTGGTGACTGGTCCAAGGTTGAAGTTAGTCTAGGGTCCTGACCATGGATGAATTGTCACCGGAACACGTGTCATGAAACCTGAATATAACCCCGATTCAGACTATTACCTTGAGTGACAGTAAGCCTGGCCTGTGTTGTGGCTGTCCCATCGCCATTGCTTGCTTCACACACCACCGCCAGGTCGTTGTCTCGATCAAGCCGAAGGGGCGTTATCCTCAGCACTGACCCTCCCTCCGTCTCGACGATCTGATAACGCAGACCGCGCACCCACTTCTTGTTCCTGTACCATTCAAAAGTTGGGGCTGGGTCACCCGTCGCCTTGCAGTAGAAATTTGCAGTGCCTTCATCTATACCACTCTCGTCTGTCAGACCAAGTGTGATGACCGGTGGTGCTGTAAGGTGAGAGAATAAAAGGGAGATATATCGTCATTATTTTTTTGGGCTTATCATATAGGTCTAGATGTACATGTAGTTGTAACACTTATCATCAACACAACCGGCATCCGGTGACGGATCCAGGGGGGTCGCCCCCCCCCCCCCAGGCAAAAAGAAGAAGAAGGAAAAAAAAGGGAAAGATTTTTTTGTGTGTGTGCTAAAGAAAGCACACACACACAAACAGTGTTCCCCCTGACAAGGTGTAATGGGGGGGGGGGGGGGCACGGAGCGTACTGTTAAGGGGGAGGGGGGCTTGGGGGAAATAAAATTCAAATGTGTTTTTTTGTTTCTAATTCCCTAACGGTGGTTTACAAATAATGCTAAAATGACATTATTTTCCGAGAATTTTTCCAAGATTATTAGTAAATTATACTTTTGTATGCGTTTGTTTGAAAATGACAAATTTCTAAATATACATCCAGGCAAGAAATATGCTTCTTGAGATGCCTACATGTCAGGGCACGCGAAACGGCGGGGATCGGGAGCCTCGAGCCCCCCCCCCCCCCCGACTTTTTCTTAAAAAGTATATTAGAGACAAATAGAAAGAAAGAGCAAGAAAGAAACAAAATAATGACGTATCAAAATATGCTCAAACCGTCTCCCCAAAAACGCCGGCCAAAAAAAAAAGAACAAAAAAAGAGAGGAGAGAAAAGGAAAAGGATGTAGGAAGAAAATGAGCAGACAAAGAACATTTTTGAAATTCAGATAAGTAATTAAGAGTCGAGAACGGTACAGCGAATCGTCTTCTTTCTTTACTAACTTTAATAAAACGTCAAAGCTTCCGATCTTCGCGCAGGAGGGGGGGGGGGAGGGGACTGAATTTAGACAACCCAGAAGGAAAAACCAGTTACCACCAGTTGAAATTTCCAACTGGTTCCAGTTAACTTCAACTGGAACCAGTTAGATTCAACTGGAACCAGTTAGATTTAACTGGTTCCAGTTGATTCTAACTGGTCCATGATGCACATCAAGCGGATATTTGGTGCGACTGCATTTCATTTAACTGAAACCAGTCCTTATAATGACCAGGTACACCAGTTGATAACTGGTCTGTTTGCATACTTCCAGTTGCACCAGTTGATAACTGGTCTGTGCATGGCATATATCCAGTTGCGCCAGTTGATAACTGGTCTGTGAGCATATTTCCAGTTGCACCAGTTGATAACTGGTCTGTGGGCATAGTTCCAGTTGATAACTGGTCTGTTAATTCCAACTAGACCAGTTAGAATTTGACAAGTTGAATTCCAACTGGACCAGTTAGAATTTGACCAGTTGAATTCCAACTGGACCAGTTAAAAATCTGACTAGTTGAATTCCAACTGGACCAGTTAAAAATCTGACCAGTTGAATTCCAACTGGACCAGTTAGAATTTGACCAGTTGAATTCCAACTGGACCAGTTAAAATTCAACTGGTCAAATTCTAACTGGTCCGTGTGCATTTTTCCAGTTGACACCAGCTAATATGCATAATGGATATGGGGTGCGTGCATATCTATGTTTCAATACAATTTACCTGAATTTACAGCATATTCCTTAATTACTGCTGATTTAGTTATGTGCAATTCATTTCGAAAATACTACAAATACAAATTGCCAATTATTAGGACATTTCATTACTTCGTGTAAATAACATATAATTAAACATGAATTAGGGAAAACATTAACTATGACTTAAATAGATTCAATAAAATACAAGTATATTCAAAATATTTAGTTAACAAGTCTACCTATTACCTATCTACCTATTACTTATGCCTTTAATTACTAATTAAGTTTTCAATTGGTAGTTGATTGGTCCAGTTAGACCAGTTAAATCCAACTGGTAACCCTGGAAATTGAAATGGGCCAGTTGAATTCTAACTGGTCTGAATGGTCCAGTTAGACCAGTTAAATCCAACTGGTAACCCTGGAAATTGAAATGGGCTAGTTGAATTCTAACTGGTCTGAATGGTCCAGTTAGACCAGTTAAATCCAACTGGTAACCCTGGAAATTGAAATGGGCCAGTTGAATTCTAACTGGACCAGTTAGAATCTGACCAGTTGAATTCCAACTGGACCAGTTAGAATCTGACCAGTTGAAATCTAACTGGTCCAGTTGGATTTCAACTGGTCGAATTCTAACTGGTCCAGTAAGAATTCAACTGGTCTGGTTCAACTGGCCCATTTCAATTTCCAGAGTTACCAGTTGGCTTTAACTGGTTTAACTGGACCAGTTGCAACTGGTTTTTCCTTCTGGGAAGGATTAAGAGTCGAGAACGCTACAACGAATCGCCTTCTTTCTCTAATAATTTAAGGAAACATCAAAGCTTCCGCGCTTCGGGGGGGGGGGTGCAGAGGGGGGGGGGGTGGGAACTGAATTCAGACAAGGATTAAGAGTCGAGAATAGTAATACGAATCGTCTTCTTTCTCTAACGATTTAATGAAACGAAAAGCTTTCGCGCGGGAGGTGTGAAACTGAAATCAGACGAGAACGGTACAACGGTTTTTTTTTTCTTCTAATAATTTAATGAAACTCAAATTTGGCCCCCCCCCCCCCCTAAGAAATCCTGGATCCGCGCCTGCCAGCATCATCAAGATTTTCATCAATATCGATAGGCTCACCACTACGAATACAATCACCATAAAACAATGACCATGCAGCATTTAGCCATGTGTTATTTCCACTGTCAAGAACATCCTCCTCGATCATGGCGTCTTAATTGCAATTTGATACATGTCCATCTAGGGGAGGAATCTTGGAATAAAATAACACTGAAATGGAGGGGGAAAAAGGAATTTTTCAATTGAGGATTTCAACACCATATTTGTTTTGGGTTTATGAAAGTGATGGCTTTCATGAATATCCTCTTCTCTTTTCCCTTTTTTTGGTACAATAATTCTTTTTGTGACTTCCTCACACAAGCAAAAACACTACAGAAAGACACGTTATGTGCTAAGTGTGGTGAACAGGAATGGAAAGTAGTTTAGACTGCCCTGCAAGGTAACTGGACAGGTGGTTATCTCATCGACTCAGCTCTCAGTTAACATAAGAAAAAGAGGATCATGGGGACCAATGGTCACCGATTAGGCATTGTTTGATATAGAGAGGGCGCAAGTAGCTACAAGTAGTGCAGTGGGCCTTTAAGTGGTTTTCAAAAGTAAAAGTTGAACAAAAAGAGGTAAAAAGGAAAAGTTGTGCAATATACACACACAGAAAACAGGATCAAATGCTTTAAATCTGTGGTGAGGTGAAGCTGATTATGGTTCAGCTTTTTTCCGTGAAAATGACCCCAGACCTAATAGAGGACAGCTTTTAGGGGGTTGGACACAATGATAACCACTGTACATTGAGCTGAGAGAAAAGAGAAAGTCTTATGCATTTCAAGAGCTTCAAACACATAATTGATGTATTATTCATCATTCACCATATTGAAAGCAGTCATTTCAAGTTATCATGACTTGCTTCTCATGAAAGATATCGGATGTGTGTATTTCATAAGGGCTGCACCATTTCAGTTTGCTCTCTTGACTTGGTTATTCAGAAATTAGTTTAAAATGCAATATTTATTCATTCCTACCAGAAATATAAAAGTTCATTTACATCAGCTGATAGAACATGGCATATCATATCACATGTCTGATTTCTATACGTTAAGTGGTAGTGGGACAACATAAAGGTCCCATTATTGGATGATCATTTAAACAAATACAATTTAAACAAATACAATTCAAGGCAATTATCAGCAAACATTCTATGCAGATGACTCATATATATATATATATTTCCTGATAAAAAGGATGTGGTAATCGGAGGAAGATAGAACCTGCTGCCAAAGACCGTGACCCCAGGGGCGTCGCCACAGGGGGGGGGGGGGTGTGGGGGGTGCGACACCCCTCCACCTGTCAGGATATTGTCGGTAAAATTGCGCTGCCGTCGGGAAAAAAGGAAAAAAGAGAGGGAAAGGGAAAGAAAAGAAAAAAGAAAAGGAAAAGAAAAGAAAGAAAGGAAAGAAAAGAGAAAGGAAAGAAAGAGAAAAAAGAAAAAGAGGGAGAAGAGGAAAGAGAGGAAAAGGAAGATAAGGAAGAAAAGGAAGGAAAAAAAAAAGAAAAAAGAGAAAAGGGAAACAAAAGAAACGGGGGGGGGGTGAAGAGAGGAGAGAGGGGGGGGTAAGAGCCTGAGAAAGGAGGAGTGGGAGTAAAATAAAGGGAGGGGGTTGTCGGTGGAGTCGTCTCGTCAAGGAAGCAAAAAAGACATGGGTAAATATGTTGCTGTGTCGGGTCAGCTGTGTCGGTATTCTTGCTCGATCCTCGTGTACTACTGTATATATCAATGTAGAAGTTTGAAGTCGGTGAGATGTATATTGTCGGTCGGTCGACAAGTTTTTTTTCCCTACGAACTGTGACTTTTTATCCGCTGTGACGACTTCGAGAGTGACTACAACTACAATACTTGTATTTTCTCGAAGTTTCACTTTCCTATAATATCAGCTAAAGAAATCAGAGGTTAAAAATTTTCGGGGAAACTAATTCAAACAAGGATTAAGAGTCAACAACGGTACGACGAATCGTCTTCCTTTCTCTATATTTTGATGAAACGCCAAAATTTCCGCGCTTTGCGCGGGTGGAGAAAACTTCATTTAGACGAGTCGAGAAAATTACAACGAATCGTCTTCTTTCTCTCATAAATTTAAGGAAACGTCAAAGCTTCCGCGCTTCGCGCAAGGGAGGGAAACTGAATTCAGATAGAGCTTAATAAGAGTCGATAACGGTGCAACGTATCGTCTTCTTTCTATAATAATTAAATCAAACGTCTAAGCTTTTCGCGCTGAAAGGGGGAAACTGAATTCAGACAAGGATTAAGACTCGAGCACGGTTAAACGAATCGTCTGCTTTTTCTCATAATTTAATGATACGTCAAGGGGAGGGGGAGAAACTGAATTCAGACAAGGCTTAAGAGTCGAGCACTGTTCAACGAATCGTCTACTTTCTCTAATAATTTAATAAAACGCCATAACTTCCGCGCTTCGCGCGGGAGGGGGAGTACTGAATTCAGATAAGGATTAAGAGTCGAGAACAGTACACCGAATCGTCTGCTTTTTCTCATAATTTATGAAACGTCTAAAAAGCTTCCGCGCTTTGCGAGGGAGGGGGAGAAACTGAATTCAGACAAGGATTAACATTGAGAACGGTACAGCAAATCGTCTACATTTTATAATAATTTAATAAAACGTCAAAGCTTCCGCGCGGGAGGGGGGGGGGAACTTCATTCAGACAAGGATTAACAGTCGAGATCGGTACAATAAATCGTCTTCTTTTCCTAATAATTTAAGGAAACGTCTAAGCTTCCACGCTTCGTGCGGGAGGCTTAACACCGACACCCACTAATGAGCGCGCTTCGCGTGCTCTTTAAGTGATTCGCTTGCTCACTACCGCCCCTCCCTAAAATAAGATCCTAGCTCCGCACCTGCATTAAAATATATAGCTTCGGTGTTGACTAAGTTGACGAAATATTCGTCTATTTATGTCGTCGAGGAAATGATCATTTGCGCATACGCAATTACTATAGATAGTCCATAGGAAAAACAATTTAGCCTTCGGCCCCGGGTTTATAGGGTTAAATTTGTAGATATTGGGGCATTTATTTTTGTCGATAATCGGTGGCTAGTTTTGTCGGTAATCTTTGGCCTCTACCCCCCCCCCCCCCCCCCACTGAAAAAGGTCTAGCAACGCCCCTGCGTGACCCGATGTTTGGAGAGCGACAGAGAAATAGTGAAAAGCTGCACGCAATCAGGCTGAGCCTTGCACTCGCAACGAGAAAAGACACAAAATTATGCTCAAGTGGAGGGTAATATTTATGGAGCATGCGCTCAATCAGTTCAAACTCTCAGTCTTCTGTTCTTCTTACAAAAGCACTATTGATATGATCTATTTTTCGGCCATTAACTGGATCATCACCACTTTATATTTTTGTGACTTTGGTGAATCTCTGGAATATTTCTCACACTTTGGGCTTCACGCACATTCTCAGTTATATACACAGACAGCGGAAATGGGAGTTATACCACTTCCATATAGGAGATGGACTTTAGACTTATGTGTAACAAACAACTTGGTCACCCCTCAGGAGAAATATATAAAATATTTTTATATTCTCTCTGGTCATGCGAAAATAAGTTTCTTCCCATCTGTTGATTTTTGGCAAGCCCTTCCATTTATGTCGCTTGCTTCATACATGATGTAAGAACAAAATAGTACATGTGCTGGTTAGGTTAAGGGGTCAGTGAGGCTGTTCACACCGCAATGAGATAGCGCGGTCTATCGTAGCACCCCCTTTTTTCTAGCGCGCGCCAGACCGCGCTCTCTCTCGTGGACCACCCCCAAGAGGTGCTCCAGTGGCACGCCGTTTTGGCTCGCCGTGGCTCGCTGTTGGGCGGACCAAAATGACGTTGTACCTTCCAAACCGTAGAGATAGCGCGGTCTAGCGCGCGCTATCTCTGCCGGTGTGAACAGCCTCAGTGTGCACAAAAACAAACATAATCTATATCAGGGCTTGATATGAACATGGGTCTGGTGTACGAGGACCCCTAGATTTCTAGATCTCTGGACCACAAAATTTCAAACGTTGTCAGACTTCAGTATCTGCTACTGACTGTTTAATCAGAAGTGATAAATGGTTTGAAGTGATATGAACGGTTTCTGGTCTTAAGCCCCCATCACACCAAACTAGTTCTCACTACGTTCTGGAACCGTCCAAGAAAATCGTAAAACGGGTTGTGGTCGGGGTCGAATGTGTAATACGATCCTAGTTCGTTCATAAACAGTCCTCAATACGTCCATCTCGTTCGTACCCCGCCCACAGCCAGTTCATTATTAAGTTCAGATCGGGTAGATTAGACAGTCCAAGCCAGTTCGTAGACGTAGTCAGTTTAAACCCATTATTAACTAGTTCTACCTCGTTCCCAATACGTCCAAACCCATTCTAACTAGCTCGCCACTTGTTATAACTAGTTTTTAACCCGACCACTCCGTTCAGAGGCAGTTCAACTCTTCCTCATCTCGTTCTGAGTGCGTTCGAAAGCGCTCCTAGAGCGTGTGCAATCCCGTCCTGACTCGGGATAGTTATACGAACCCAGCGCGTTCTCGCCATTCCTCATTTCCGTTCAACTTCAACGCTTTAGGCTTTGCAGATCAAGACGTTCAAGTCAAGCACCTATCACACCAAACTAGTTCACACGACGATCTGGAAAATATTGCCGAACGGGCTCGAACTCCCGCCCCCCCCCCCCCCCCCCCACACACACACACTCCGTGGTAGGAATGACCGCATGCGTGTTAGCAAAATGTCCGGTAAAGGGGTACTTTTCACGCACCAAAGTCCGGCTCGTACATACACAAAATTGACTTTACACACCGGACTTAGGGGGTGTTTTCAAAAGGAGGGAACACGCATATGCGTACCCTAAATAACACTGAGAGGGGGGCCGGGCTCGAACTATGTGTGAACGTATTAGCAACTATTTACGATCTTTTTAAGGACTTCATGGACGGGCTCGGACTGGCTTGGACGGGAAGGGTGGTCTAGAAATGTTTGCCTGTTCAAAATTCTACCCGTCCTGCAATTGGACGGAGTGACAACGTACTTAAAGCGAGATGGACGTACTACGAACGGAATTGCCGTACTTCGATTCTACTAGGAACGTGTTACCACTTGATGTGGTCGAGGATCAAAGAGGAAGAACGCGTTGGGTTTGTATAGCACTCGAAAACACCTTTTTAACACCTGTCTGAAAACACTTTTTTAAATGGTGGTCAAAGTGACCATAAGTTCCGTGGTGATGATCTCGTAACTCAAACGGATTATTAATCTTAGGTGTGAATCTGTGATTTTTTAGGTGTGAACAATGATTTATTCTTGGGTGTATTGATGGTTTCATAGTTACCATTTAAGTTCCGTGGTGATAATCCCGTGACTGTTGGCATATTTCTATTTGCACCAGTTGATAACTGACTGTTGGCATATTTTCATTGCACCAGTTGATAACTGGCCTGTGTGCATATTTCCAGTTTCACCAGTTGATAACTGACTGTTGGCATATTTCCAGTTGAACCATTTGACACCAATTAATTTGCATATTGAATATGGGGTGCGTGCAGATCAATGTTTTTTTTTTTAAACAATTTATCTGAATTTACAGCGTATTTCTTAATTACTGATGATTTTGTACTATATACAATTCATTTCGAAAATACTACAAATATAAATTACCAGTTATTAGGACATTTCGCTACTTCGTATAAATTACATTTAATTAAACATGAATAAGGGAAACATTAACTATGAACTGAAATAATTTCAATAAAATACAAGTATATGAAAAAAATTCGATTAATTAAATTATGTATGTCTACTTATTACAAATGCCTTTACATTGGAAATACAGACGTACCAGTATTGAAGTGTTGTTTCCGTTCAACTGGTTGGAAGTTTTACCCAATGGTTCTACTAATGGCTCAGCTAGACCAGTTGAATTCTAACTGGCCTGGATCAACTGGATCATTTAGACCATTTGCAACTAGCTTTTTCTTCTGGGATGTTTGCACCCCCCCCCCCCCCCCCCCCCCCTCCCCTCTCTAATCAAAAACTGCTTCCGGCGCGCCTGGACGTAATTATGGAAGATCCAAAACACGATGTTCAGAAACGGGATGAGAACGTCATTATTTGTATTCATTTATTGTGTAACATTTGCGTAATTATTGGGTTGAACGCGGGTTACAGTAACATATTTCCTCTTCGACGTAAATTTCACGTGAATGAAGAACATGATTCATCTCAAGTCAGCATCTTAATATTCACGTGAATTTCACGCAGATATTTTGACTAAAGCTATCACTAACGCTTCACGTGTTTCTGTGACGCGATTCTAAAACTTCTAAAGAAAGTGATAATTTCGTTTATGAAGATGTAATTTCATAACCAAACAAAAACGGGAGTATTAGGTTAACAAACCATGGTCTCCAAGGTAGGGATAATCACGTCATTATAATGGTGATATTCCAGTGACAATTGCGTGATTTAGTGTACGTGTTTTATAAGTGACCTAGTGCAAGAAACGTGTTAACACAATCACGTAAATGTCAAGTGTTTGAAGAACGTAAATCTGTTCCAGTCGATACCTTGATATTGACGTGATTTTCACGTGAACTTGTTTATTGGGTAGTACACCTGTTTAGATCATCCACACAAAACAAAACAAACACTCAACTCACGTACAGAAGATGCAACAACATTCTAATTTTGAACTTGTCAAAACGGGCAACTTGATCTTTGAAGCACTTGCTCGAATACCGAACTTAGTTGCTATAAAATACAATCCTATATGCACATCAAATGAAAAAATGTTTTGCTTGCCAATGTGACAGGCATGGCAAAGAATAGGAATATTTCATTATTCTAGGGCAAGAGGGCAAGTTGATTTTGAAGCACCCTGTTATGATAAGATCGTCAACTTACATGCAGCAGACTGTCCAATGGTGAGAACGAGAACCGTGGCCAGCACCACCACTGCAACACAATCTATTTTCCACTGCTCCATGATTCATATGATTCAGATGTGTCAGATCAGTGCAGTGTGAATGCACCTTGTCTTGTGATCACTGAATCAAAGAAAGGAATAAGAAAATATATCAATATTTATATTATCAAACTGTTAGTGTGAACACATCCTGATGTGCAAATAAAGCATGACAAAATGGCAGTGTGAAATGCACCATGTCATGTGATCACAGCATAAAATAAATTGGGAAAATAAATGGTCACTATCATAAAAATGCTAGTGTGAATAGAACCTGTTGCGTAAAAGAAGACATCATTAGATGGCAGCGTGAATGCACCTAGTTATCGCTCCATCATAGGAAAAAAGAAAAATGATATTGGTATTTCTTTTCAGAATGCAAGTGAGAACAGAGTTACTGTTGAGTAATAAAAAGCATCATGCATATCAAATTGATTGTATATCTATAATGCATGTATTGCACAATTTAAAAACAATCAATACAACAATGAAATCACAACCCAGTGCTTACAGCAATACTGTAAAGAAACTTTTCATCAGTCAACTTCAGATTGTTTGAATCAACAGGCCCATCTTATTATCAGTGTAATGAAGAGACAGGGTGAAAACTGCTGGTGATTATCACAATGTGAATTGATGCAGCCTTTTAACCACTGCGTCAAAGAAATGAAATTATGTCAATCACCCCTATAGAATATTTTTCCAATAAATAAAAACAAACATAATTCTATCAGTGATTTCATCTCTATTATAGCACTTATGATGTCCCCTCCGTTAATCGCTTGAAATTATCCATGCACAAGCATGATATGACCCTGCCTTATCCGTAATAACACCTTTGGCAAGATATTAACCTGCACTTGCTACTCTCCACCCAGGTGTTAAATGGGTACCCGGTAGGATGCGAACGTTCATGTGGTTGGACGAGCAAGTGTGCGCTTGTAAAATGGCGACTGGCTGGAATGCTCCCCAGGGAGTGGAAAATGTGCCCACATTGTGTGTGGGTAAGCCTGAATCCGATGACCGGGGTAATAATATATCTGTAAAGCGCTTAGGCACATCGTTGGATCGGTGTATTGAGCGCTATATAAAAAACAGATTATTATTATTATTATGAAATAAACACATTACCTCAATGCAGAAATAATCTCAACTGCAATTCAGTTTACACACGAAAAAGAAAAGAACACTTTGCACAAAATAAGAAAGAAATCACTAAGCCTCACAATTTCCTGACTTCACAACTTTGTCTTTTGCGATCTGTATCCAGTGATTAAGTGTACAAAGTCACGGTCATTACTTATACAGCAGTGTCGTTCGGCACTATATGTAAATGGTATTCAGTGATGTATGTGCAACCTTGCTTCCTGGTAGCTAAAAATAAAATAGAGTTATGTTGTGTGATAAGTGCATGAACGCGCAAAACACACACCCACACATATAGTATAGTATTAAGACAATACTCAATAGTGCAATAACCTATATTTTTAATGTTCATCAGACAGTGTGTTGGTGTGTATGGGAGAGAGTGTACATGTATGTATGAATGCAAATTATCTCCCTTTTTCTTCATTTTATATAAAAACTGAGTATTATTATTATTATTTCCTCAAAATATAAATGCAGTTAAATTTATAATTCAATTTTTGTCTTTCTCAAATGTATAAATTGCTGTTAAGATTTGTTTATTACGAATGTAACTATGGTTTCTAAATATTTTACATTGTACTCGTTATTATGTATTGTATTTTGTTGGAAATTAAAAAATTAAAATAAAATGAATAGAATGGAATGGAATGAAGAGATCATCATGGATTATGAGAGAGAGAGAGAGAGGAGAGAGAGAGAGAGAGAGAGCGAGAGAGAGAGAGAGAGAGAGAGAGGGAGAGAGCGAGAGGAGGAGGGGAGAACAGAAACACAGAGAGACAGAGAAAATGAGACATTTCATCTGTTTGGAGCCAGAAGGATATTTACTTCAACAAAAAGTAAATGCCCTTCTGGCTCTGAACATACGATTTGATGCATGTATGGCTTATCATCAACAAATAGGCTGTATTTGTCACACCTGTCAAATGACAATAAGGGGCCCATGTGGTCAGGGGCGTCTATAGACCTTTTTCAGTTGGGGGGGGGGGGAGGGGGTGTAGACTGTAGAGGCCAACGATTACCGACAAAAGTAGCCACCAATTACCGACAACATTAAATGTCCCAATATCTACAAATTTAACTCTATAAACCCGGGGCCGAAGGCTTAATTGTTTTCCTTTGAACTATCTATAGTACTTGCATATGCGCAAATGGTCATTTTCCTCGACAAAATAAAGATACGAATTATTTCGTCAACTTAATCAGCATCATAGCTATATATTTCAGGCGCGTAGCTAGGATCTTATTTTAGGGAGGGGCGGTAGTGAGCAAGCGAATCACTTGAAAGGGGATGGGTGAAAGGCCTCCCGCGCGAAGCGCGGAAGCTTAGACGTTTCATTAAAATATTAGAAAATGAAGACGATTTGTTGTATCGTTCTCAGTCGGCTTTTAATCATTGTCTGAATTCAGTTTCCCCATTCCACGCGAAGCGCGGTAGCTTAGACGTTTCATTAAATTATTAAAGAAAGAAGACAATTCGTTATAACGTACTCGACTCTTAATCCTTGTCTGAATTCAGTCCCCCCCCCCCTCCCACGCGAAGCGCGGAAGCTTTAACGTTTCATCAAGATAGAGAAAAGTGGACGATATGTTCGTCTGAATTCAGTTTCCCCCCCCCCCCCCCTCCCGCGCGTAGCGCGAGAGCCTACACGTTTCCTTAAGCTACGGTCACAAATCAGAGCAGCGACCGACCGATCAGTAGCCTGCTTGGTCGCTGCTGGAATTTAGGCATCGCCCAGCGATTAGGTCGGTGCCGGGCGGCGACCGCCCAGGAACCGAGCGTATTTTGGGCGGCGAGTGAAAAGTGAGCAGGCGCCGCCCAAATTTTAACTCCGCGCTAAAACTTCAGCGGCGACCGGGCGATGCCCTTAAAACAAGCGGTGCCTGGGCGGCCACCGCTCGATGGCCGGGCAGCCGCCGGGCAGAATTGGTTAAAAACTCGCCGCTCGGCCGCCGAGCAGGCTACCTTTGGGTAATGTGACCATAGCATTAATTATTAAAGAAAGAAGACGATTCGTTATAACGTACTTGACTCTTAATCCTTGTCTGGATTCAGTTTAACCCTAATTGTCTGAATTCAGTTTTCCCCCTCTCGCGCGAAGCGCTAAAGCTTTGACGTTTCCTTAAATTATTAGAGAAAGCACACGATTCCTTCTACTATTCTCGACTCTTAATCCTTGTCTGAATTCAGTTTAACCCTAATTGTGTGAATCCAGTTTTTTCTCTTCAGTCGCGAAGCGCGGAAGCTTTGACGTTTCCTTAAATTATGAAAGAAAGCAGAAGATTCATTGTACCGTTCTCTACTCTTAATCCTTGTCTTAATGAAGTTTCCCCTCTCGCGCGAAGCGCGGAGGCTTTGGCGTTTCATTAACATATTAGAGAAAGGAAGACGATTCGTTGTACCGTTATTGACTCTTAATCCTTGTTTGAATTTAGTTTTCCGAAAATTTTAAACCTCTGATTTCTTTAGCTGATATTATAGGAAAATGAAACTTCGAGAAAATACAAGTATTGTAGTTGTAGTCACAGCGAATAAAAAGTCACAGTTCGTAGGGGGAAAAAACTTGTCGGCCGACCGACATTATACATCTCACCGACTTCAAACTTCTGCATTGAAATAGTACACGAGGATCGAGCAAAAATACCGACACAGCTGACCCGACACAACACATTTATGCGTGTCTTTCTTGCTCCCTCGACGAGACGACTCCACCCAACAACCCCCTTCTCTCTTTTACTCCCACTCCTCCTCTCTCAGGCTCTTACCTCCCCCTCTCTCCTCTCTTTCACCCCCGGTTTCTATTGTTTCCCCTTTTCTCTTTTTTTCTTCTTTTTTTCCTTTTATTTCTTTTCTTTCTTTTCCTTTCTTTCCTCTCCTCCCTTGTTTTCTTTTTTTCTTCTCTTTTCTTTCCTTTTTTTTCCTTTCTTTCCTTTCCTTCCTTTCTTTTCCTTTTTTCTTTTTTTCTTTTCTTTCCCTTCCCTATCTTTTTTCCCTCCCCTTTTTCTCTTTTTTTCCCGATGGCAACGCAATTTTACCGAAAATATCCTGATAGATGGGGGTGTCGCACCCCCACACCCCCCCCCCCCCCCCCCCTTTGGACACGTCCCTGCTCACGCTTTGCGCTCGCATGGTTAAACTACATATGGAATTCCGAACGTGATTAGCGTCCTAGAACCTCCGACGCCATATTTGTTTAATCTATTTAACCCATGTTAAAATGATTATTTCAGGGGACTTATTTAAAATAAGGGTTTAGAATGCATTGATTTCAGGTCACTTTTTCGAGAAAGAGAAACAAAATCAGCTCGCGCTATGCGTTCGTATGATTTTATTGCCTATTGGTATATATAATTTAGACCCAAAAGGCAAAAAATACTGTGTTTCCAGGTAATCACCCTTCCCCCCTCCCTAGTGGTGGTCTAAAAATGGGGGTAGAGCAAAGAGAGAAGAAAAGGGAAGGCTTAACAATTTTGGACTGTCTAAAATGGTGACAACGGGGGGGGGGGGGGGCAGTCGGGGGAAAAAATTCAAACGGCGGGTCAAAAACAAATCCTGAAAATCTTCCTAAGCCTATGGCATTTAAACTTATATGTAAAAGAAAAAGATATTCATGTCGTATTTCGTATACCAGTTTTTATGATCTATGTTCTTATTTCATTGTTTGGGTATTTACCCTTGACGACGATGTGTATAGAACAATAATTTATTCCAATCTGGACTTGGGTAATCCAGATTCAAATCAAATTACATGCCAAATCCTTATAATTTGAGAACTCTCTCATTTATAGGGCTTATAGCCTCCACTGCTTTGCTTTTCTCATGGTATAGCCAACTATCACCTCCATCACACTTTATATGACATTTTCGCTGTATATTTAACTTTCTCATTTTCACTCCTTCGCTTTCCTCATTAAAGTATTTATGAAATCACTAAAAGTAAATTCTCTCTTTCTCATGCAGTAGTAGAAAGACATCGCATTTATACAAACATTAACACAATACACTTAAATAATTAATTAATGATGCTTTTTGCAGTTGAAATGTAATCCATGTTTCTTTATTTGGCAATACAAATAAATGCACTGATAACAAATAAATAATTATTTACACAAAATAGGTTGTCAATCACTTTTATAAATAACACAACTTGCAAAATATACAAATGTATATCATGCTGTTTGTTCTGACGTATAACTTTATACATGACATGGACCCTTTAAAAACGTATAAGTTTATACATCGTACAGACCATCCAAAAACGTATAAATTTATACATCGTACAGACCATCCAAAACGTATAAATTTATACATCGTACAGACCATCCAAAACGTATAAGTTTATACATCGTACAGACCATCCAAAACGTATAAATTTATACATCGTACAGACCATCCAAAACGTATAAGTTTATACATCGTACTGACCATCCAAAACGTATAAATTTATACATCGTACAGACCATCCAAAACGTATAAATTTATACATCGTACAGACCATCCAAAACGTTTCCGCGGTCGACCAGCCCACCCCCCCCCCCTTTCCAGGCCATCATTTCAGATCAACAACACCCTTGGACTACCACAATAAAATTACAGGCAATGTTTCCCGGACAATACCTCTCATAGGATAACTATATAACCCTGGACAATTATCCATAAACAAACACTTACATGACCAAATTAGCCAAATTAGACTTCCCACATTAACTATCTACATTATTTTACAGAGATAATGGGGGAATTAATTGTTTTGGGTGTAGTTGTCAGGGGCAGGCTCTAACAGTGTCCATAAAGGTGCTTTTGTTCGTTGGTGAAAGTAGTCCGATCGAGGGTGCCATGGTAGTTCGTATAAATTTATACATTGTACAGACCATCCAAAACGTATAAATTTATACATCGTACTGACCATCCAAAACGTATAAATTTATACATCGTACAGACCATCCAAAACGTATAAATTTATACATCGTACAGACCATCCAAAACGTATAAGTTTATACATGGATTTGGAGGGTGCGTGCCATGTATAAACTTATACATATAAACATACGTATAAACTTACACAGTGATCCTACAAATTGACCCTCTTAAAGTGATGTGAAACTTTAATATAATAACAAGGAGTAATTACAGCTGGAGTAAAAGCTTAACAATTTCCTCTGAAGTAGGCTCAATGCCACAACAACCACGACAAATATATATGCGCTCTCCGAATACATGCACATTGATTCAAAAGAACTAACGATGAAACACCCGCGGCCAGTATTGCTACAGAGGATGCACATATGCAATTAAAGGTATTCAATATAATGATAATTGGTTACACAGAAAGTGCTCATGAATGGTATAACCAGGTGTAAGCAAACAGATACACGTCCAAAAATACAAGATTTAAAGTTGCTAATTCCATGAGTGGACACATGTGGACTTTACTCTGGTTGATTTAATTTAATAGAAATATTTTCTTGATAGTACCATATAAAATATGAAAATCAGAAAAGCAATCAGCAAGGGATCAATATTGTACTTGAAGCAGTACATATTTATTACACTCTTAAGGCAATATCTCAAGAAATCTTGCTTGTTGAGGAATGGGATTTTCAGAGTGGCATCGTACATAATTACTAAACAATTGCCTATTTGTTTTCTATGTTTATTGATATAATAAATCAACTGTGCAAACAAAAACCCAAAAAGTTCACATCCTCTCTAAAATGTTTTCTTTTACTTTGGTGGCATCGCGCATCAAATATCAAAGAACCAAGGCAGTTTAATAATTCTATTGACTATCCTTTGGAATCTGCCAGATGTTTGCATAAATTATCCTCAGTTTGGACTCCAGCTCTGATAATTCCTTGATTATAACTTTGAAGTATATGATCTTCCAACTACATCATTGATATCAACAACCGTCTTCTGATGCTTGGAAATGAGTTAGATCGAGTGTTTCATTTTGACAAGATGGTAACAAAATCAAGGGCCCAATAGTTGTGACCCGAGTTTTTATCCTTGATAAAATAATAATATGTGGGTTTTTGTGTTGATGCTTTAGAAAAATAAATAAGGTGACGAGTCACGTTCACCAACCCTGTGCCTTTGAAATTACCTTCAAAGTAATCAAGTTCACTTGGCAAGACAAAAATATGCTCTAATAAAAGATAATAATAATAATATTGCACTCTAGTATAGCGCTCATCTATATAGCAAGGTGCTCCTGCATGTATGTTACCTGACCTTAACTAGGCTACATATTTTGGTACAACATAGTTTGAGTGTAGTAAATGTATGTTAAGGTCTTGCCAAAGCTAGACCTTAGTGAAGTGGCCGAGATTTGAACCACATACATGTACCTAATGATCGGTAGTCCAGCCACCTATCTACTAAACTAAAAACACATCTACACATAGACTTAAATACTTGTATTAGATAGCTCAGAGAGTTGCTAAGGTGTGATTGGTCCACAGCATGTCAAGTGATATGGGGACTGCAATTTATTGTTAACAGTTCACGCCCGGTCATCTGGATGGTTATATTGACCAGCTGGTCAACGATAACAGTAGGAGCATACGCGCTTGAGCTAAGACAATGTATTCATGTATCAACAATATTCGTTAATAACAGCTAAGCACAGAGAAGAAAGGCGAAGACAATGGATATCTACTGTAGATCAGACTCTATTAAACTGTTCGTGTTCAGACTTTCATGTAAAAACCATGACTTGGTCTTAATCAAGGTTATCTAATATTATAATAGATATTTCCTGTTATGTATGTAATACATATTCTTTAGCCTACCTAAAGGAGTTTTATTTTCCCTCATGAAAATACAACTCCAGCGGCCAAAAGAATGATATATAAACACCCTACCAGCCATATCTGGATAAAAATATTTACATAAAAACGTTAGTTTGTCACATATCTTAACAAGATTTTTCAGAACTAAATGAGGTAGTGATCGAGGTGAGGAAATGAGAGAAACAAAATGCACTAAGGTATAGAACACGTCTGGTCCATGCTTAATACTAGATCTGCATCTAGAATCTCCTCCGAGTCTGCAGCACCCATCATGGCCTCTATTTCTGTGCTGGACAGTGTTGTCTCCTCTACCATCCTCCCATTTCGTCCACATTCTGCTGCAACCCTTGCCAGCAGTCCTGAAAATATAATAGAGAAAAGAATATTTAATTTTGTTTGTCTGGTGAAGCTTGTGAAGAACCAAGTTATTAGACGCAACACTAGGTAAAGGGCTTTAACCACAGCAAACGAGCACCTAATTCCATACCAAATGCATTACATATTGTTCATTTTTGTATTTTACTTTGGTAAGTTCAATATGGAATGCTTTAGTAAAGTTCAGTCTGTCTTTGATTTTCAAAGCTGGTTTTCGAGTTAAATTTGCTCAACATCTCTTTATCAATACATTTCTACTTAAATGATAAACCCCCTTTTTTAAATTTTTGGTTGTCTTACTAAAATAATACTTTTACATTATCAATAAAAAAAAAAAAAAAAAAAAAAGCATAAACCCTTACTGAATGGGGCTATTTTGAAATTTGTAAGACTGGAGGGGGGGGGGGGGGCCTCAGAGCCTACCCCTTAAGTAACCAAATTTGGCACTGACGTTTCAATTTTCTTGTTAGAATTTTTAAAATCTGATTTTATTTCTCGAAAATGGTATACACATATGAGTTATAGTTTAAATAGACCAATCTGAATGTCTCAAATTGTAATATCTATGGAAAGTATTTTTAAATAGTGAATATGTGAGCCATTGTTTAAAAACAATATATCTAACGATCGGTTCTAATAACCACCGTTTTAATTTCTCTCCTGGTGAGAATATATATAAAAAATCTCTGTTTGTAACCTATCTAAAATGTTTCATTCCAAATTGTTTTTGGTTTCAGAGTTTTTGAGAAGATATAAAGCTCTCTATATCTCTCTTGACTTGGATTTTTTTTAAATTATATGCTCACAATGTCATCTCAAGTCTTTAAGCTTTTACACAGTTCATTTCTTCTCAAACAGTTTTTATATGCCTTTTTTTTGCATATTTTTCAATTCTTATGTATTTCAATGTTTTATGAACATTTTTTTTTTTTGCATTCTACTGGAAAACTGGAAGAAAAAAAAAAAAAAAAAAAAAAAAAAAAATCGGCTCGACCTTTTATCATGAAAGGTCTGATTTTCAACACCTCAGTGTCATAAGATTTATAACACTTGAAAAAAAAATCATGAAGCGCTAGCTATTGCTGAAAATGCAATGGGTTTGACAACAAAATTTGTCTGGGGGGGGGGGCGCCATCTGAGACCTTTCCGGTAAAGTTAGGGTTAACACAAATTTCCGACAAGGCACAGGGTTGCTTATTGATATTGACCATGATTTTGCACGACCCCAAATCTCGTGACTAAAATCTTTGTTGTGCAACACTGGGCAACTTTGATGCTATTAATGTCAGTTATTATGCGTCTAGAATTTATGGATAGTGAAAAATAGGTAAATATACTTGAATTGAAAAAAGCCAATTTGAATTTACACAATTTGGACGTTATTTCACAACTTTCCTTTCCTTACATTTTATTTTATTTTTGTATTCATGTTGCTTTATTGGTATCTCTATATATTTAATCTACCCATTTATTCTAAAACTGTATCATAATTTAATTGGATCTGTATATAGATAAAATGTCTTACCGTCTCCAACGTCAAGAACCACTTCATCAATAGAAGTGAAATGCTCCACTGCATATTTGTAGAAGTCTGATCTTGATGGCATGTAGAGTTGGCTAGTGCCAGCACCCCTCCTCCTAGACTCGACAATACCATACTGCATACAGACATTATGGTTGACATCTGTTGATAAAATATATATGCACATTTTATATGGCTACTTAGAACAGTATGAATAAGCCTTAATTTCCTATAGAAGTAAAACGAATATACATACATGTGATTTTTCACATGAGGCACAATTTCTTTTCAAAAAGATACAATGTGATTTTTTGAGTTCTGAATGCACCTTTTTCTTTAGGAATAAAAACCCAGACATTAGAAATGCATTTGTTTCACAATTACTCCGCAGTTGTCTAATTAATATAATTAGCTTGCTTTGGAGGTAATGTGTTTGAGATCACATGGCAAGCATCTTATCTTCATTTGTTCAGCATTAGTCAGCTATTATATGTTTTTTTTCCCCCAAAAGCATTCAGTAATCATTATTTTTTGAAGTTTTGAACATTCATTGTAAATGTCATTGGATTCTGTCAGAAATTAATTTCTGTCATTACCAGAACTCAAGATTATATTTAAAATCCAAGTGATATAAACAAAAATTTATATGAATGTTGAGCTTCATAGGAGGATTTCTTAAGAAAGAATTTTCATTCAGATCGAGCAGCCAATCTAACACACTGGAAGTTATACGGTAACATTCTTTCTTAATAATTTATATTTTTTTAACACACACTGCAGCTATCTCATTATTACACAACCACAAAAACGTTTGTTATGTTGCTTTGAATACCGAAATAACAGTCAGCTTCATAAGATATTTAATAAAAGACATGGAACATGCATAGTTACCTTGAATATCTCCTACTGGGGACTGGACAATATGCAATATATGCACATCGTGTCGGGTATGTTGGCTGACCACTTTGGATATCGCTGTGATGTCCTTTGTCAGGAAGATTCTGGTAGTAGCCGATGGTGTTGAGGATAACTGGATATCCTGTAATATCAGAAATTCAAATAAAAAGGAAAGAACATACAAATTAACTATAATTCTAATATGTTGAGCCCAGATAATATACACAATGCAAAGTTCTGGAAACTGTTTTTTTTTTATTTATACCCTTTTCATAATTATCTGCAGCTTAACATTTGCTATGTTGAATCAAAATAGAAAAATCAAATTTGAAAATAGGATGAAATAGCATGTGGGTGCACTTTTCCATGCCAGTCGTCTGGGCGACAGTGCCATTGTACGTAATATATGACTTGTGGGAAAATTGCAATTTCTATGCCATGAATATAATTGTTTTTTTTTTGTTATCAATGACAAATTACCAATGATTTTTCATCAGCATAAGATCATTCTCCATGTAAATCCCTTAACCTTGAGTTCCTTATAGATTACAATATTACAACTTTGAGATATTTTAAACTCACAATTTTGAGATTTGTTTTATGTGAAATTCAGTTTACCTCTTTCAATTACCAAGTGCCTACAAATAAGTGCTTTGGAACCTTAAGAATATGGGACAATACCTCTTCTAGTTCTTGTATCATAAGGGCTGGGATGTCGTCTGCATTCATGTCCATGTCTCTCTTGGCCCTGCTGATGTGCTCCAGGAAGACCTCTGGGATGTTACCTTTTGTATACTTTTTACCTGAAAAAAAATACATATACATTGATCATAGAGCTCCGGAGTCAATTTGACCCCCCCCCCCCTCCCCCCACAATATCTTGGCCACAGAAGGTCTGATTGATGGGAAATTTTGCATGGACAGCAATGCACATGCAAAGAAATGTTGCTTTGATGTTTGTTTTTTACAAAAATCACTCATTTATTACTTTATTATAATTCATGCAAATTAAATTCCTATTTTAACACATTCAATAATATATCATTAAACAAGGCAAACGCCAAGCGTTGTCTTGCCTGCATCTTAGGCCCTATAAGCAGATCAGGAGGTGAATTTTGGGTTCTGGTAGTTTACTCTTTAGCAATAATGGAATCCCAAGGAAAGTCTGTTTTCCTTTTGACCTGTTGCCTTTGACCCACATTTGAACTTGACATGTTTTATAGAACAATTTAGAAAAGGCAGTATTTTGTACACAAACGTACTATGCAAAATGTCAATTGTGGCTAGACGTGTGGTTAAGTAATGTTGCATAACCTCTAGCATGGACTGTCCCAATTTTGGGGCAAATTTGGTCTCAAAAGTTGCGAGACAATAAAGTCATTGAAAGGCAGGTTGTGATTTGTAGCGGTTACGTGGCAGTCCTGGATTGTGTACGGGGGAGGCAGGGGCCAAATTGACCCCCCCCCCCCCCCCCCAGTCAGAATAGTCAACCCTACTAGTTCATCTAAACTTTAAAATTTGGATTGATGGAGATACAGGATAGCAATTATTGTATATCTTGCTGGGGCTCAATATTCTCTTCAATAGACATTATACGAAGCCATGATTTGTGCATACCAACATAGGGTTCCAGGGCTGCTTCTGAAGTGAAGGTTGGGTATCTTTCTATCGCCTCTTCCCACGTCTTAGCCCCATCCAACTCCCTTAGCAAACACGCTCTTCAGACTCTTCATTGCCTTCAGTTCATCGGCATCCGCCTTCATCTTTTTAACATTCAAAGACAAGGTCGCCTCCAGAAGAAGTGAATATCGCTCCTCTTCTGAGAGTCCTTGTAGCTTCATGAAACACTATAAAATAAGACAAATGAAAATAATAAGAGTAGTTATTAGTGCACGTGAAGTATTGTTGCTCACTGTCAGAAGACAAATTTTATTTGCATATATATGAACTATCAACTTTTTCAATCAAAGTCAATTCTTCTGCAAAGAATCCCCAATTCATCTATTGTTTGATTTGAATATGTAAAAAACTATTGCTTTAACCCTATTCTCACTTTGAGTGCAAGCTTAATGCGAAATATTGCAAGGACGTCAATACAGATTTGTTTTTATCACAAATTTGTTACTTTATTATAATTTATGCAAATTAGATACCTATTTTAACATATTCATTAATATTTCATTAAGTTATGAAGCTCAATCTCTTTTTTAAAGTTGCTGAATAGCATAGGCAACAATACTGAAATAATAAATAATGAAATTTCCGATCAATTCTTTTGTATTCTATTGTTTCATAAACTACTTATGTATCTATTGTTTTCATTTATATATGTGATTTTTTTCATGTTTCAAAAGTGTATCTTGAAAAGTTTCAAGACAAGTATGGTCAGGCAAAAAGACTAGAAGGCACAATTAACAGTGTTGTAAAGCAATTTAGGAAAAGCAGTATTTTGTACACAACGTACCTATGCAAAAAGTTGATTTTATTGTTAATTTTTAGAACTCGGTCTCAAAAGTTGCGAGACAAACAAAAAAAGTCAGAAAAAGTCACCGGAAGCCGTGTCGCTATTTGCAGCCATTGCGCATCAGTCACAGATTTTGAACAGGAAATTGAACCCCCCCCCCCCCCCCCCCCCCCCTCCAGTCAGAATAGGGTATCCGCCAATGGTGGCGCTATATTACTTTATTTACTTTGGTTGTGATGATTTGATAAACTCCTTATAGCGGCTGAATAAACCACAATTCTCATTTGCACAGAAAACATGTGGTATGTGTGACATCCAGTCCAGCTCAATTTTTGTATTTTTCATATAGCTCATTACTCAGCAATAATATACATTTTCTACCAAAAAGTTATAATTTATTTGGTGTTTTGAACATTCGCAAGTCAAGTTTTGTTCGATTCTATGAAGAAAAAAAATGCTTTCCTTCATTACTCAAGATGATATTTAAATGTGTAAAAAAAAAAAAAAAAATTTAAAGCTTACTTACACATTGTTTCAAATCCTTTCCAGTAGATTCTCTAGTTGCATCGAAAAGGAGAGTGGCTTTCCTGTAGCATCTGTTTGAATAACTAGCCAACTGGAAAGTTGGCTCGAGAGCCCTCAGTGCCTGTAAATTACAACAAAAAAGAAATGGATAATATATGCTCTCATAACCAGTTTGATTCTGAACATTCCAATTCATTCACTGCAATCACCATTGCATTACATAATTCACCATATTGTAATATGACCCCTCAAGTTAAAATATAAGAAATGTAAGAACTTTTTGGCTAAAATTTATGTTTCCAACAGTCACTCTTGAAAGCTCGATCATCTCAAATCAATCATTGATTAAACTCCATTTTGTCATGTACATGTAAGTTGGCTGAATATAACAATAACCTTTTTATTGGGGGGTTGGGTGATGTTCATGAGTTTTTATGCTGAACATAAATCTAATTTAATGTCCGATTCATCGTTTCATTAAAAAAAAAACCTACTTCGCTACAAGTAAAAATAGAACATTGAATGAATTCAGCATTTTATCTAGATGAAAATGTCAGATGAAAATGTCAGCTCTAGTGTTTAGACTTACATTGAAGGAGCCATTTTTCCCAAGGGCTAGGGAACACTTGCGTCTTGTCGAGGCAGTCATAGTGCAGGGCTCATCCTCCACATCAAGGTTGTTGTCATCGTATAGAATTGACCTGCAGACAGCAACCTCCTCCTGCAAGCACGGCTTGTCTACAGCAGGTTGCCCACACCTATGCAGTGATGCCACTCTCAATGCCTCAACCTTGTCCAGGTTTTGGTACACCCTGCAGCGCCATCCACAAGATAGATGTTCATATCTAAAGCAATCAGAAAAAGTATATTGGTTATAGGATATTGAGATGGGTAGGATATAGAAACATGGTGTATATATGTATCATGCAGAATAAAATATTGGAAAAAAGCTTACACGGTATACCTTTCCATGCAGTCACACACTTTTTAAGAAAACAAATATGAACATGGTACACAAGGGAAATATTCTATGGGATTTTATTTGAGTCAGGGATCTAAAAATATTTTGTATTGTCCTTAATATACCCTTCATTGTATAACTATAAATGGAACACCTCTCTATTACCATTTTTCTTCCCAAATGGTACATTGACTACCTGGGTAGCATTTCTTTTATGTTACATGCTTCCACTACATATTTGTGGACTGCATAATAAATGGAGAAAAAAAAAGACAAGTGATAAATGAATATGTTCTGTACATATAATATCGGTAAGTACATCACATAATCCCTTTAAAAATTTAACCTTTGTCTCATACACTGTAACTACAAAAAGAAACAAAAATAACATTAAAAAGCAATTGCAAAAACGGGTAACTTTTATAGAATAAAATACCTTTCATCGTCAACAAGATCCTTAGCTGCAAGAGCATAGCACACCCCTCCTAGGAGCTGGTAAGCTGTTCCAGAAGGGCCATCTACTGCGAGGACTGGAAGGACATGGGAGCTCTGGAAGTGGGTTGCTGCCTTCATCACGAACTGTTTGGCCTCCATCACTTCCTTCCTGGTACGTGGTCTCTGGAGATCCTTCTCGGGCTCCACAAGTTTTTTGAGGGAGATTTCAGAAATGCCTACATGTAAAGAAATAAAATTTCAGGTCAATGACACATTTTCAAAGATTGTGACATTTAAATCTTTAATGTTTATAAATAATATCCCCTGTGCAGAGAACAATCTACATTTTGAAAATGACACCAGGGGCCCGTTGCATAAAGACTTACTATTATGGTAACTTTGCCATTATGGTAACTACCATGGTAACCGGGCTCAGCAGCCAATCGAAATCAAGGTTTCTATGGTAGTTACCATAATAGTAAGTCTTTATGCAACGGGCCCTGATACATATTATTAGTAACTGGATCAAAACACACAGAGGCTCATCAGGGAAATTTTGTCCTAGAGCTATACAAAAAATATTCCTATAGCCCTTTTCAATTCAATCTCATTTTGCCTTATGTGGAAAATGCAACATATGAACATTGTTTTGGGGAATTGGCAATTAATCATTTTTCAACTTTATTTTGGTTTTAATCAGCAGTTGGCCATTTTACCTTCCCTGTGGCTATTGCAGAGGGGCATTAAATAATCAATTTGGCCCCAAACATGTACTTCATAAACAATAAGAAAAGGAGATTGTAGTTTTGATGAAAAAAATGGAAATATTTGTGGTATTTGTATAGGAGTCCATTTAAAAATTGTTTGAAGTTATACAAAATCAAATAATAAAAGTGGAATGTCCCAATTTTATCAGGCTTTCAGTGCTGTTATATTGATAAACTATTTTGTACACATTCTCTCCATGATATTTGCATTTCTCTTTGATTTAAAAACTGCCAATCAATAACATCACATTTAAACTTAGTGATATCATGTAGAGAGAAATGTTGTACGTCTGGAATTATTAGTGAAATGAATTTTGTAAAAGAATGGAACACAAACTAACCTTGACATTTTTGTTCAATTGCTGCATCTGAATTCTCCGCCGAATGTTCAGAAGTCTTGTTTCGTCTCTTACGTTCTGGTGGAGTTCCGTCGCTGCTAGATCCAGAACTGCTACGTTTTTGCCTCGATTGTGTGTAAGATTGAGAAGGAAGGAGTTCTTCCTCTGATGACGGAAATGAATAGATCATGTCGTCATTAACGATCGCCATCACTGACAAAACATCGGTCAGGCTGTTCTCCGTTTTTTTCAAAGTCTTTGCCATGTTTGTGACACTCATTTGGCAAAACTTTGCCTGTGTAGAAAGACCATTACTAAAACAGACCTGGGAAGAAAGTAAATCGGACAAATACAGGCATTAATATAAGCTGCTTAATGAAATTATATTCATTTTGCTTTGACAACCTCACACAAAGATTATAAGGGATACAGTTGAATGTTCTACATGTTTGCCTAGAACTAGAAATATCACCGAAAGTGATTAATACTCACTCCCCATGTGTGTGCACGAAAAATGAAGAAGTGGTTTGATATATACAAGATTTTACAGATTTATTGCAATAATAGACCATTACCATGGCAACACACTTTCCGACACATTAAAAATGTGTCTTGCACATAATCAACTCAAGACCAATATTTGTGCGAAATTTAATGAGCATTGCTCGAAAAATGAAGAAGTGGTTTGATCTGCAAGATTTTACAGATTTATTGCAATAACAGACCATTACCAATGCAACGCACTTTCCGACACATTAAAAAAAATGTCTTGTACATAATCAACTGGAGACCAATATGTGTGCCGAGTTTCATGAGCATTGCTCAAAAAAATGAGGAAGTATACATGTATATAGTTCGATCCACGAGATTTTCCCCCGATATATTACAATAATATGCCGTTCCCATGGCAACGCAGTATCCAACACAGTAAAAAAGTATGTCTTGCACATCTCCATCCTAAGACCAATATGTGTGCCAAGTTTCATGATCATTGCTCAAAAATGAGGAAGTAGTTCGATCCACAAGATTTGCAACAGACTGACCGACTGACCGCCCGACAACCCGACCGTACGCCAATTCCTATGTACATGTATACCCCCTTCAAACTTCTTTTGGCGGGGGAACATGCAAAAAAAGATCCCTTTTTCCTTGAATGCCAATTTTTACTCATATTTCTTTGTTGTACATGTACATGTAGCTAGGGTAGATATGTTTTGCATAATATACAAATTACAATTCCCCTTGAGAAATCAAGAGTGAAGTTGTAGTCTGCCTGATGATCGTGTCATGTAACATACAACAAATGTGCATGCACAGGACATTCAGAAACTTTTAGTAAGTCGATTTCCTCCGAAATGTACAAACAGTACAGACTATATACCTCTATGTTTAGAGAAACAACCTATATTTTGCACTCTCATTAATTAGATGAATTTTCATTAATACAATTGCGATACAAGTATGGGATGTATAACTTTCAACAGTTTGCACTGCGGTAGAGTTTAGATTCTGCCCTCGTTATAAAGGAGAATAAACTCCTCAGAGACAATTGAATTGTAAGAATGCAGAAAAATTAAAGTAACATAAATGTCAGTGAAATTAAGTTGAAGCAAAAACAGTCAATTAATGAGTAAAGACGTGAATTTAAAAAAAGTTATGATTACTAATGTTTAATATGGAGATCATACATGAAAAACTTTCCAATTTCTTTTGCAGATATTGCACTAAAATCACCTCTTTTATAGGAGGACTTGGACAAAAATTCTGTTCTATGAATTGACTGAGGAAAAAAATGAAATTCACATATTTTTGTACATGTGGGAGAGTTCTCCTTGTATGACATCACAAAAAAGTGACTGCGTTGCCAATATGAGATATTCCATGTCATCAGTGATTGAAACTTTTAATGGTGCACCATCCTCTCAGGTTGGCTAGCACTAGGTGGGTAGTCCAGTAATATGGCATAAAGCTAGTCTTGATACCTTTACAATACATTGTACATTTCAGTATAAATTATACCTGTATAATTGGATTTATAATGGAAAACAGGAATGTATGGAAGGGCATTGTACTAATTTGTTACAAGTTTGGTAACATATTTGTGGTATGAATGTCATAAAGAATAGAGGAAAAATTTGTAATCATTTAAGTGTGCATATATTATAAGACTACATTATCAGGATGCTGCATTCTAGGTTAGGAGCCTGGACAGTTCGAGTACCACCGGTACGATTTCAGGACTCAATTATGTATACAGTTCTGTTTCTGTCCCGTTTAAAGCCAGTATAACCTATAGCACCCTTGTAAGGACCATCTGCATAAGTAAGTCGTGAACTATTATATAAATAGTGTATACTCTATCATACAATAATGAATTATATGTCCGACTAAATTACTAAATTATCCTGAGTCAAAATAAACCTGCACGAGGGATAATTTAGTATTTGGAGTTCATAGTCCAGTATTTATAGTGTACATGATAGAACATTCACTATTTATTATAGTAAATAGACTCCTAAATACAAACCCCCCTCCCATTCATGAATTTCAGATTTCTCCAAAAAGGGAATTAAAAAAAACATTCTTTAGAGAATTCTAGATGTGTTTGTTTTTTTTTTTTTTTGAGAATCCTGAAATTCTGAAGAAAATTTTTTTGGGGGACTTTTTTATTTTGTTTGGTTTTTGTTGAGAATTCAGAATACTTTCTTTCTTTCAAGAATTCATAAACTTTCATAATACAATATGCTGATTTACAGAAATACATTGTCAATCGCTATGTCAAAAGGTATAAGACTAACTTTGAATGTCGCCCAGTACATAGTCTAGCTAGGTTAATCCTCTTTTAAATATCTCTTTAAAAAATCTAATCTAATCTAAGATGGTTAATGTCAGCTTAAAGCTTAAAGGGAAATTGAATCTTTCATAGAAATTTGGTTTGGATGAATGTAGAAAAATCAAACAAATATGAGTTTTTAAAAGTATATACAAGTATGGAGACCCTCCCATTGGCAATGTGACCATGTATGTATGACTTAGTGGGGAAACTTTCAGTTTGTTAGGTATACTTTCCTACATGTAAGTTCCATGTTTAACCAACATTGGCCATTTAGAAAAAAAAGTACTTTGTATAAAAAACACTCTCTGCACATCACATCAGAACAAAAAATACAACACAAGGACAACGCAAAGCGTAGCAAGCCCTCGCTGGAAACAAACGGCATAATACATCAGAACAAGTTACATGTACGTCCATTAGACGGAATTAAGTTACTGACATCTGGGGATTGAATGAAAAGAAAGTTTACTACTTTACGGAATAACCCAAGACATTTGACCTTTGACCTAATGTACATTATTCCAAAATCAAATTTAGGCTGTATTTGATACCATGCATGTACCTTCATATCAAATTTCATGAAAATCTGTCAAACATTTTAAATTATCAAACGGAAACCAGTACGTGTTCACAAGATTTGTTACAGGCGGACGGAAGGACGGACAGTAGCGTTACTATTTTCCCCTCAGATTTCCTCCGCAAGGGGATTATCTGACAAACATTACTAAAGTTATCGAATGGCAGGGGCCGCGGAGCCGCGGGGATTAAGGGGGCTGCAGCCCCCCACTTTTTTCAGTAGACGTGTACAAAAACGCGAAAATGACTATAAGATTGTGCTTTTTTGCATGATCCGCCCCCCCCCCCCCACTTTCAAAAAACGCTCCGCGGCCCCTGAATGGAAACCGCATATTCAGATGCATAGTAAGCTATTTTGCATATTTAATGAGCTATGACCTTTGACTTAAATACTCTGAAATCAAACTTAATAGGCTGTATGTTTATACAATATGTACAGTACCTTCATACCATATTTTATAAAAATCCATTAAAGGGGAAGTCCACCCTGAACTTAAGTTGTTTTTAATAAAAGCAGAACAGTGAGAGAAACATATCAGTGAAGGTTTGACGAAAATCCGACAAAGGATACAAAAGTTATGAATTTTTAAAGTTTTCATTTTGTGACGACGTCACATGCGAGCTGCTCTCCTATACGTTGTGTACTGTAAATTCCATAAATTGCCATTTTCTCAGAAAAATAATAATTATTTTACCTGTGCATTCGATATATTATCAGACACATGCTTTTATACACGCCCTCTATGAAATAGATCCATTCCTTCATCAAGAACCATGAAAAGGGGGCAATTTATGGAAATTACAGTACACAACATATGGAAGAGCAGCTCGGAAGTGACGTCACAAAATTAAAAATTTAAAATTCATAACTTCGTTATCCTTTGATGGATTTTCGTCAAACCTTCAATGATATGTTTCTCTCATTCTTCTGCTTTTATTAAACCCAACTTAATTTCAGGGTGGACTTCCCCTTTAAACATCGAACGGAAACCACACTTTCGCATATTTAAAGACTTATGACCTTTGACCTACATACTCCAAAATCAGACTCAGGCTGTATTTTGATCCATGTACCTTCATACCAAATTTCATTAAAATAAGTCAAACATTACCGGTACTTAAGCTATCGAACGGAAACTACATTTTAACATATTTAAAGACTTATGACCTTTGACATATATACTCCGAAATCAAACTCGGGCTGAATTTTGATTCCATGACGTCATACCAAAATTCATTAAAATCCATTGAACTTTACTAAAGTTAACGAACTGAAGCCATAATTTGCTATTTTCGCATATTTAATGAGCTATGACCTTTGACCTACATACTCTAAAATCGACCTTAGGCTGTACTTTATACCATGCATGCACCTTCAAATCAAATTTTATTAAACTCTGCAAAACACATCTACAGTTATCAAAAGAAAACCATTTGTTATGGAAGCACGGAAGTAAGGATGGACGGCAGCTTTACTATATCCCCTCTGACTTCATCCGCGAGGGGATAATAAAGTCTTCCACTATGTGTCAGGTATGTTTTAGCTATGTGACTCGACTGGACACACAAAATATGGTAAACTAATTGAAGTTAGAGAAACCAATCAGTGAAGGTTTTGAATGAGTCAGAAATATTCAACAGGAAAGTCTACACAAATAATATATATTGATTTTTATGAATAAGCAGAAAAATCAGGTTGACAGCTTGATGATAGTTATCTGACAAAATCTGAAAACGGATTATAAGCAATGTTATACAAATTTTAATTTCCAATCAAACAAAAATCTACAACTCTGTGACGGACATGTAACTTAAAAATTCTTATCACATTTTTGTAGACGTTTCCATGGTAGTTGATAAAGTAAAAATCTAAAAGTGTGTGAAAACATATGGCACAGGCATGAATAAATTGTGTTCAAGAAATTATGAATTCATTCAATTTTAGCACACAATAAAAGTTCATCGCAGAGTTTTAATTTGGGTTTAAAAAAAACTTTGTAATAAATCCTTTATCAAATATTCACCAAACTTTTACTGATAATTACTAGATCTAGCTAGCTTGGGTCGGCTCCCAAGACGAAAATCCAATTGGATATCTCTCTGCACACCTGGATCTGTGCGATTGTTAATTAAAGACCAAACATGAACTCAATCACTTTTCTAGCAATATTTTGAATTACATCCTGGGATACAAAAAGCTTTGAAGATATTTTGATTAAAAATTATATTGAAGGAAATTAATTTTTCCTGGCTCATTATATAATTTCATATGTTATGCAGATGCAGAGAGTTTGAAACCCTATATTAGTTTACCCAGATCTACATGTATTCATAGATCCATTTTTGCATATGGCATGTAAGTTTTTGCTGTGATTAGATGAAATAAATTCATCGTTTTTGTAAATTTTTTTGTGTACATGTGTAACAGGGATATAATTGGTTACATTTATACTGGTCACAAGAAATAATTTGGTGGAGGCTAGGCTTCAAGACTTGGTCGCTAGTAGACAGTCAGCCGAACTGTCTCATGACCTGAACCAAGTCTGAATTTGATGTGATTTCAGTTTAAATAGAGACCTCTACCTAGATTTATAGTTGAGATCTCAATCACGATGGAGTAATAATTAATGGTTTAATGCTCTGTCAAACTCATTTCACATAGACTCTATTTGACCTCAACCAGAATATTTCTTTACATAGTGACAACTAGTGTCTTTGAACAACAAAATAGCAGACACAAACTTACTTACTACTGACGTTAAGTTTTAATTGGCTTAGTCTAGATCTAATCTACTTAACTTAGACACTATAAATAATATATATTCTAAGCCCGGGTCACATGCAACCAGCTCAACCAAACCAGTCCCAGCAAGCTACTATAGACTCTACTACTAGTACTAGTAGTACGACTATAGTGCTAGAATAGATAAGTGATATACATAAAAAAATAGGTCTAACACTAGTTTGTTAAACCGAACTTAGAGATCTGAGATAAATAGATAACTGAACTGACAGTTAACTGTTGTTGAGTTAAAGTTAGATCTTAATCCCTACGTTGAAAGTCTACGTTGCACTTGCACTTGCAGGCAGTGCTGCACACCATTTGAAATGATTTCATTTGCACTTGTCCAACAGTTAGAATGTCTATCAATCATGTCTTGACTTGCATTGTTGCAAGGTTGCATTTTTTTAAAGAGTAACCATGTCAGAAACACGAACTGCAGATTATTCTAGTAGGTTATGTAAGTTTCTCACCTGTATGCTGTCTTCAGTAGATGAAGTGGTAGCGACGCAAATCATGCTGATGACGTCGGGAACTCGACATTCCTGTTTCGGCTGAATGCCCTCCGTCCATTCACTATCAGGAACAACTGGTTCTGCTTTCGCTCAAGCCACCACATGTTGAACTAATATAGTCTGGATCAAGGCACTTTTAACGAATCGACGATATCGATGACTTTTTCGAGCAAAATAGATGCTTACTAAACTAAAATGCCAACTAACTATATAATAGAGGAATGTTTGAGTATCTATACAAGTCGTCAAGGCAAGCTTAAACTGACAGAAAGCGAAGTGAATACTCTAGACTATTAGAGAGATTAGTAATGCTTTAAACACGACGGGCGAATGCAGACTATTCATATGCAAATGAGTCTACACTATACCAATATAAGCCCTCGATCTATCACTTGTTATGCAAATTTTCGCACGCGACCATTGCCGATTGGTGTTTCGTTGTGAATGGGGGACAGGAAGTGTACCCCTTTGTTTATTTTGTTATGTAAAATAGAAGAGCTCAGTATCATCATCTAATTTCTTGAAGGCAAGCATGTAATCCCCAGGCACGCAGTGAACTTATTTGTTTGTTTGTGAGGGGGGGGGGGGGGGGGGTGGGGGGGGGGGTGGGGGGGGGGGGGGGTTACTAGTTTGTCAAATAATTGTAACTATAGCTGTGATATGCCAGTGCATAGCTTAATCAAATCGTTCATTGTAAACAGCATGTCATTTTTATTTTCATTTTCAATGTAGTTTCAAAGCAAATTGGAAACATTTCGGCGATCCCTCATTTTCTTTTAAAGTTGACTCATAATACCATGGAGGACTAAGAGCTAGGAAGATAATTATGTTATGCCTTCATGACTGCATATTTTTCTCGCTTAGTTTTAGACAATTGCAGGCAGCAACCAAACAAGAAAGAAATTAATTTAATGATTTAGTTATTTGGCGCCCCATTTATAAATCATATCATATTTGACTCACTTTGGATGACTGGGCCGAGGTTTATTTATTACCCAAAAGTATATGCGCCTAATCTTAGTCTCACATAGTGAGACATTTCTAAAAGAAGAAAAAAAAAAAAGAAGGAGAAGAAGAAGGAGAGGAAAAAAGAAGAATTAAGAAGAAAAAGTTCAGAATTACAGAAGAAAACGGCGAAAGTCACACTCAAGTGACTGCGAGCAAGACTAGCTCTCTCAAACTGTTAAACAACCATTTCGGTTTTATGAATGGGGTGACAGAGCGTGGTCCAAGTACCCCTTTGTTTTGTTACGTAACATAGGAGAGCCCAGAAAACATAATCCTAGACTTGTTGTTGAAGTTGTTTTTGTAATGACTTCATGTGTCAAGTTTAACTTATAATTGTAACAATGTGTCACAATCCTCTGGTTATCATTATTATATATTATTCTACTTCTACTCCGATCCTAAACTAAAACCGTACGTGATTTACAACTATTCATATTACTACTGTCAGGCGCGGGGGGGGGGTGGGGGGGGGGGGGGGGGGGGGGCATAAACCCAAATTTAATTTATAAAGTGCCCCAAAACGGGTACGAACAGGATTCCCCCCCCCCCCCTCGAGAACAAACACACACCATCAAGGCGGAGTAACAGAGGCTGATTTCAAAGCAAAAATCATAATTTAAAAACTTTGTTGGCCGTTGATCCCTCATTTTAAAAGAACAGCGGTGGATCCAGATTTGGAAATAGAGGGGGTGCAGACGGCAAATTTGAATAAAGAGGGGGCGCAGAAGGAATTTTCTTAGTATGTTCAATGTGTGATTCTCAACAACAAAAAGAAAAGGAGGGCTTGCGCCCTCTTGCGCCCCCTGCATGGATTCGTCACTGTAAGAATAGGTCTAAGCAACAACAAACATGTTAGTTAAACCTTCACTTCCAACACTTTTTATAATTTAATTTTGGAGCCCATTCGTTAAATTCATTTTCTTATAATCTCCTTTAAATCTGCCCCTGATATATTTGAATGCATAATGCGGGCTTCATTTTTTTTCCCCTGAAGACCTAAAATTGACCCGTGTTAAAATATATTATGAGGAGGGGGGGGGGGGTGCTCAATCCGAGACCCATCCAAAATAAGCTAGGCTCAGTGATATCTAAACTCCACCGTAAAAACCACCCCCCCCCCCAAAAAAAAAAAAAAAAAAAAAAAAATCGAAATGAAGTCATGCGAGCTGTTTTTTTTTGTTGTGTTTTTGATAAAAGAATGATATCTGAGCTCCCCCCCCCCAATATTTTGGGGGAACTCATCACACACGGGTGAAATGTTATTTCCTTTTTTGGGAGGATCGAGAGAGGAGCTCAATGATAATCGATTCCCAACAAAAATATGGTAGACACAATGATATCTGAGCCCCCCCCCCCCCCCTCAAAAAAAAAAAAAATTGGGAGAGGGCTCAGTAATATTTGAGCCACACCAAAATTATAAGTGGCTTAGAGATAACTGTCCCCCACCAAAAAAAATTGGTGGTTGTTCAATTAATGTCTGAGCCACCCCCCCCCCCCCCCGCCGACACACACCCCTCTGAAAGATAGAAGGGGCAGGCTTAACCCCAAATCCGTCTTAGTTTGTTCCTACTAAAAAAAAAAAACCCTGCCCCTGATATATTAGAATGCATAACATGGGCACGATTTTTTTTTTGCCCGATAAAGACCCGAAATTTGACCTGTGTTAAAATAAATTAGGAGGAGGGGGGGGGGGCTCAATCCGAGCCCCACCCAAAATATGATGGGCTCAATGATATCTGAACTCCACCCACAAAGAAAGAAGAAAAAAAAAATGAAGTCATGCGAGATGATTTTTTTAAAATTTGGATAAGAAATTATTTCTGAGCCCCCCCCCCCCCCAATATTTTTGTGGGAACTCATAACGCGGATGGAAATTTTTTCCTTGAAAGAGAATTGAAATTTGACTTTTGTTAAAATATCTTCGGAGGAGAGAGGAGCTCAATGATAGTCGATTCCAACAAAAATATGGTAGACACAATGATATCTGAGCCCCCCCAAAAAAAAAAAACAAAAAAACAATGGGGTAAGGGCTCTATAATATTTGATCCACACCAAAATTATAAGTGGCTTAGTGATAAATGTACCCCACCCAAAAATTTGGTGGTTGTTCATTGTCTGAGCCCCCCCCCCCCCATCCGCACACACCCCTCTCCAAGATAGGGCCATTAGCCCAAATCCGCCTTTGTTCTTCGTATGAGCAAATTTTCAAACTGAAGTGCACGCGAGCTGATTTTTTTTTTTCTCGATAGAGACCTAGCTGAAATGTGACCTGTGTTAAAATGTATTGGGAGGGGAGAGGGCTGTATATAGGGTCCAAGTTTCGTAAAAATAATGCAAATCGTAAAGATGCATAGCCTACGTTACACACTTCAATGGGGGTGTTTCCATTTGTTGACCTCACCTTACACCCCTAACTCTAAGCATAATCTTAAACATAACCCTAACCCTACCCATGTCAGCTAGGATGACAGGGGGTGTATACATGCAGGTAACATGTGGAAACACCCATTTGAAGTGTGTGAAGCCTGTGCACTTTACAATTTTTTTTTTTTTTTTTTTTTTTTTAACGAAAAGTGGTCCTGCAGATCGAGGCTCATATAATTTTCGAAATGCAAAAAACCCAACAAATTAATGATTTAGTTTCTTATTACACCCTTTAGTTGGCATCTCACTTGTTCGACGTTGGAGTCGAGGGCAGAGGCACCTCGGCCTACGTTGTACTGTATAGAATTATATAGACTCAGACTAGCGGGAGTGGCGTAAACAAAAACAACAATAAAATAAAAGCTGGAGACTTGAGGTCGATGGATCGAACTCGATCTTGTAAAGTTCTAATTTTGAGGTTGTCCCAACAGTACAGCAATTAAATGTCTTTACCCCCCACCCTCACCCTGCCCCCCTCCCCCTCCCCCCATCCCGTACAACGAATCTTTAAATGCGCGTCCCGCGTCCATCACAGACTGGTGAGTAAGACTATGCGTTTGAACCGATTTCTAAGAAGTTATAATCCCGCACGGGCGATGTGTCGAGCTAGTTTT